AAAAAAAAAAAAAAAAAAAAAAAAAAGTGAAGCCAAGCCTGGTGACAAACCTAAGGCCCCAGTTCAACCTCATCTTTTCTTCAAAGAAAAATTTAGAATTATTAATCAGTACAAGAGAAGTAAATGGCAGATGGAGAAAAAATACTTCTCAGTAGTTTCTTTGAGTTTTTCTGGAGAATCTGGTATCTGACATTATTTTTTTTAAAAGTGGATTACTTCTGTAACATCCTAAAACTATGAAGAAAAAGTCAGTGCAAAAGTTAAAATTATTTCATGACTCCCCAAGGGCCTCTAGTGGCCAATGTTACCAAACATGTATCAGTAAGTAAATTCTTTTCTTCTCAGTACTGATTACTTTTCCTGTCATTTAAGGAGCCTTGTAATATACCTTGCTTATACCAGCTTTTAAAAATAAGTTTGCTGAATAAAAGAATCAGCACAGTAATTAGAAATAATTCCTTTATAAAAGGAATTATCCCTTTTATAAATACTGCATATGTGGCATTGATGATTCTTGCCTCTACTTCATTACTTTAAAGCTAATAAAAAGGGATGTCTGCTTATACTGACTGTCCTGGAATGAAGGGTGAGCACTTGGAAAATGAAGAAACAGGTTATCTTTGGTTCTTTCCAACCTTAAACTTATTTAAAGTTAACTAGGCAGCCATGGGGCAATGGACTGTGCTGAGAAATTAAGACTAAAATAATATGGGTTGGATGTTAATCACTTTGGTAGTTTATACTACACTATAAAAAACAATGACTTAAGCAAGAGAAATGTGTCTCTATTGGTGTAATTTCAGGTGAACTGAGGGAAGAATTCCCCAGCCTTTTATTCTACTTCCTCAATCTACCCCATAGGCTGGCCCAGATAAGCCTTCAGTGTAAGAAAAGATCTAACTATGTGAAATTTATAAGGCTAAGGATAATGTCTTAAATAGGACATCTCCTTCTTTTCCTTGCAGTTTATTTTAGGCACTTCTGATAACCTATTTCATCAGGCAGAACTTGATTTGATGGAAATAACCTATTTCCTAAAATTTAAACCTGGAAGACTAGTAAACATGTCCAGGAAGAAAAACATAGTCACGTGCAAGTCCTACTAACACAGATACAACTTTTCTCTAGAGGGCCATGAGCTAAGTCACCAGGAGTAGTCACACTCTCTTCTCAATTTTTTCTTCAGATGCATGGCTGACACTGCCTTGGCAAATTAGAAGTCTGAACTTTGCTTTGGGGTTTGGCAGTTGTCACCTGAGGCTGATTAGAACTATTTATTTCTCTTCCTTCAAAGAAACTGCTCAGGTGGAAAGAGGCAGTATCTACCAGCCCTACAACCAAGTGGTGAGTGAAGAATTCCTTTCCTTCTATTTATTTTCTTTTTAATTTTTCTTTTGAGACAAGGTCTTGCTGTGTAGTTCAGGCCGTCTTGAACTCAATGTGTAGCCCAGGCTGGTTAGGAACTCACAGAGATCCTCCTGCCTCAGCCTCCCAAGTGCTGCGATCACAGGTGTGTGCCACCATACCCAACCAGAATTCTCTTCCTTTAACTTTGACTCTTTGCACAACATGGTGCCTCCTTTTGCAGTTTGGCAACATATTGGACACACTGGAAAAAAATATTTGGTTCCTATATACCATATTTCAGCTCACAGATCTGGCTGTCCATCTTCTTCAGCTTCTCGCAAATCTTCATGACTGGTACGTGCACACTCATGGGGCGAGTGACTTCACTTAGGATTTTGGTGGCTGCATCTTTTGTAGCTCCTAGATAATAGCACTGAAGGAGAATGAAGACTGTTTAGTGCCCAAGGCTATAAAAGAAAAAAAAAACTAATAGAGACATAAAGAACAAAGAATGATGTTAACCCAGTTTTCATCCTAGTTAGAAGCACCAGATAGCACGCTTGCTATTGAGAGGCAGGTGAAAAGAGCTCAGCTTGCTCTGCGTTCTCCCCGTGCAGCACAAATTGAAGAGTGCACCATGTTGTGCAAAGAGTCAAAGTTAAAGGAAGAGAATTCTGGTTGGGTATGGTGGCACACACCTGTGATCGCAGCACTTGGGAGGCTGAGGCAGGAGGATCTCTGTGAGTTCCTAACCAGCCTGGGCTACATATTGAGTTCAAGACAGCCTGAACTACACAGCAAGACCTTGTCTCACTGCTTGGAAGACAGCCCCTCAATAGTTCTCACAGCAGCGCTATCATCCTCCCCCCCCCCGGACCTCCGGACCCAGCCAGCCTAAAGTTGCCCAGCCAGCAACAGAAGACAGAGTTAAAGAGCCAGCCAAATAGCTCAGCAGATGAAAGCACCTGCATGCAGGCACAGGGATGGGTAGGTGTGGGGGGATTGAATCCCCAGCCCACCGTGTGGGCCCTAACCCTGGGGCACGCTGAGACAGCAATTGAGACTGGGCATGGTGGTGCACGCCTGTAGTCCCAGCTCTTGGGAGGCTGTGAACAGGCTGATCACTATGAGTCCATTCTAGTAGTGAAACCCTGAACACCCTGTACACCCTTCCTTAAAATAAAAAATTTTTTTTAAAAGACAGAGTTAGGAAATCCAACCTTGGGACTCCCGAGCCCAGGATCCTTCTGTCATGAAATGCTGCTTTCAAGCTACTGACTTAATACCTACAAACAGATAAAATTTGATGGCATAAATAAATGGCAAGAATTTTACAATGTGTCTGTGTGAAGTGCTCAACAATGCAGATTTAGCTGACAAATTCAACATCATATTTTATGTAAAAAGGAATTGGTCTGGGCTTGAGGGTGTAGCTCAGAGAGGATGTAGCTCATGCTCAAGACCCTGGCTTCAGTTCCCAACACCAAAAACCAAAATAAAACAAAACAAAGCAAAATAGGAATTGTCCTTAGTAATGTAAAATATGCTGAAAAAGCTGTATGTGTAAACATAGGAAGTACCATCTAAAAACACAAGAAAATATAATTATGTATAAATAATAATGTAAATTATTTGCAAAAATTTGACTTTGTAATAAATGGAAAAATCTAAGCCACTCATAATTCAGGACAATAAATTCCCACTAGGCATTGTTTTATTGATTCATTTTTTTTCATTTAAGAAAATGTTAAATTATTTGCCTGTCATTCACGCAGCAAGATGAAATGATATATTTAGGGTGAAAATACACGGGGTTATGTTTCCCTGCATGCTGTTCATAATGACACGCTTGAGCAGACATGTAAGCAGGAGGGCAAGTCTAAGTGGTTTTCTTCAAGCACACAAGAAAAATGAAAGGCAACGATTTACCGTACCAAGCGGTTTTCTTTTCCTTTGGCATCTAAGCAAAAGTTGATCAACTCTTTTTCTATGGTGTCCAGGGAAAAAGTAACTCCTCTGGCTATCAAGGAGTTGTAGAATCTGCTCAAGAATTCCGTGCACACTGGAAGGAACAAAGAAGAAGATCTGTGTGTGCTGCCGAGGCACTTCTGTACCTCTGCTCGTGACCAGTTGGCCAAGTGAAACAGTAAGTTCAAAGCATTGGGATAATGGATTCCAACTGTAATAATGATTTGGGGCCTGTGAATGTGAGCATACTATATCAGTTATTTAATCAGCTTTTGGGACCACGTCCATCTAAAATGAGAAATGTACTACAAATCTTAGAAACAGCCCATATGTCTATCAACAAATGGGTAAAATGTAATAGGCAACCCATCGGGAAACTTGCGTCTCCCAGGAGCTATGCCTAGTCCTCAAACCCCCCCTATTCCTATTCCCCATTCCTCTTCTCCAATAAAATATCCTGTTCTTTTTTTTTTTTTTTTTTTTTTTTTTTTTTTAAGCGGAACCAGGGATTGAACTCAGGCCCTTGCGCTTGCCAGGGAAGCGCTTATTCCACTGAGCCATCTCCCCGGCCCCTAAAATATCCTATTCTTAACCTTTGTTGTTCCTTAAAAAAAATATGGTGTACATATACAGTGGAGTGCTACTCTGCTATTCATAAGGTAAATTTGCAAAACAAAACAAACAAAAAAATATCAATAAAAAGGGGCTGGGGAGATGGCTCAGTGGAATAAGTGCTTCCCTGGCAAGCGCAAGGGCCTGAGTTCAATCCCCGGTTCTGGAAAAAAAAAAAAAAAATCCATAAGGTAAATTTGAATCATTAGTAGAAAAATGGATGCATCTAGAGACTGTAACCTTAAATGAAATAAATTGGACACAGAAGTTTAAATATCACACAGTTTCTCTTGTGTGAGAAGCCCTAAGGGTAAACAAGGAGCATAATGGGAGATAGCAATTGTGACACAGAAAGAACAGATGGGAAGGGGAACAAGGTGGGGGGGTGGGTGAGGAAGGGAAAAGAGAAACAAAATGGAAGGAAAAAAGTGGAAGCAAAACTTAGGTAAATGTAGAGAGCAAAAAGGATTAAAGGGAGTGGAAGGGAACAGGAAAAAAGAATTAGGATATATGTACTAATAAAATACGAACATTTAAAAGACAAAATAGTTTAAAACAAAAGATTAGTCTATTTAAAGCAGTTAATGCTTAAATTTTTTTCTTTTTAATTTCTTTTCACTTTCTTTTATTGTTTTATTCTGTTTTTTAAACCAGTTTTGCAGGTTTATATCTGGTAACCTAAACAACTACTTTGAAGATAACAACATTACACAATACAGCAACCATTGTTGAATTCCTATTACTTTAATAAAATTTTGTATAGTTTCTAATGCTTTTTTTACTACTATGTATTCTTTTAAAAATTAGAAAGATTTTTTAAAAGATTGTAAATGATGGTGGACTTAAAAATATTTGAGACAACTTCAAATCTTCATACAATCTTCAAATTCTGGATTAAAATCAAGGTGGAATAGTCTGAGATTGCCAAAAGGCTGCTTTCATTTCCAACACCCAGTTTTTGCAAAGCAGGGGTATCCACAGTGACAGCAACAAAAACTAAATTATTAGTACTGCAAAAATGTACTAACGAAAAATAAAACTAGAGGGAAAAAAAGTTCAGCATAGTTGGACATAAACAGCACACTTCTCTCATCGCTGTTTCCCCTTCCCTGTAGGATTTTTTTTTTCCTCCCAATGCCTTCAGGGCAGGTTTGATTGGCTTGAGTTGTGGGGATCAAACCACAGCAACCTGAGCCTGACTGCTTTGTTGAAGCAGCCACTTAAAGAACTGAGCTAAGGGGCAGGCCCCCTCCCCTTTCCTCTAGATGGGACCATCTAGATGCAGAAAGACAAGCTCAGGATTCCCACTCTCTGCATTAACATATCACGGTTTCATTACACAATGTAATAATAACAGAAATGAAGTACACAATAGATGTGATGTGCTTGAGTCACCCCAAAACCATCCCTCTCCCCACCCATGGAACTACTGTCTTCTCCCAAACAGATCCTGGGTGTCCAAAAGCTCTTGGAGCACTGCACCAATTCCTTTCTCACTTGTATCTAATCTGCTGCTAGTATCAATGATATGGAAGTTTGTATTTTTTCCAAAATGATAGGACATTTTTAGTAGCTTCCTGTTCTCATTTACATTTCAGTCTGTTTTTCTTTCTTTACCTGATAATTCCAATACTAAAGACTTTTTAGGTATGCTTCTTCTGTCTATTGACCCAACTGGCTGGGCTTTATGTTGCTCCTCTTCCCGTGGGTCTGTGACTCAGTTCTAGTCAGCCACATGATTATGAGGGTCAACATTCATGCTCGTAGTGCACTGTGTTGCTAAACTGTTGTGTTTGCTAAGTTAGGTGTATTGAATGCATGTTTCACATGGTGTTTTCAACTTATGATCCATTTATCAGGATGCAACCCCATTACATAACCGTTATGCACAATGGTAAATACACACCTGCACACACACATTTCCTTTAGTTCTGTTTCTCTGGAGAACACTGATACAACATTCAGCTGGAAAGAGTGTGAAAGAAGCTGGATATATATGGTTAGGCATCACTTAGAGACAAGGACAGACTTGGAGAAGGTTGTCATTAGGTCATTTTGTTGTGGGAACATCATAGAAGGTACTTACACAAACCTACAAAGTATAGCCTTCCTAGGTTTTTTGGCATTGCCTACCAGTAGAGGGGCTAGGCTACAAGCATGTAGAATACTAACTACATTAAAAAATTCTGCAGGCAACTTTAACACAATGGTAAATACTTGTCTGATGTATTTAACCATAGGAAAAGCACAATACCAATAACAATACAAACTATTTTTTAAATGGCACACCTGCAGAGGGCTCTTATCACTGGTGCAGCACTCATAGCTGGAGCAGCCTGGGGTGAGTGGACAAGTGGCTGGGAAGGGAAGGTGAGGCCCAAGACAGGCCTGCGACTGCTCTAGACTCTATATAAATAAAGAGGGTTAGGCTATACTAAATACTTGAAACATCATTGCTCTCTCTTCAATAATACATTAACCTTTACTTACTGTAGAATTTTTTTTCAACTATTTTACTTTTTTGTGGTAGCATGTAGTTTATAAGCTATACAAAACTATATTCTTTACATATCCCACCCTGACCTTTTACTCCCTGCTGCCCCTTCCCTGCCCTCTTCCCATGTCAAGTCTACTTTCCTGTTTCCTACCATCTCTTTTTTTGTACTATGTATTATATACTTCATTTGTTTTGTACTAGAGAAGATATACGCTATTTGACCTTTTTTCTTTAGATTATTTTAAGCATTTATTCTATCAAATGTTTTCTTTATAAATTTGTTAAAAACAAAGAATGACTATACATATTTTCCAGGACTACACAGGGTCAAGACTATCAATTTCCTCCTTCTTCACATCTTGTCCCTTTGAAGGTCTCTAAGGACAATCATACACTTGGACTGGTCACCGGGTCACCATCTATGAGGACAATGTCTTCCTCTAAAATCTCAGCCTTTCTGAGGTTGTTTTACAGTTCACTTTTAACAAGTAGAAAGCAGGAACTCTAAAAGAATGATTGAAACTATAGTACTATAAATACATAAACCAGTAACATGGCCATTTATTATCAAGTATTATATATTGTAATAGTTATACATAAAATTCTTCCACAGAATGGGCAGTACAGCAAGTGTGCTCACACCAGTACCAGCACATTGTGTAAGAAATGCCTAATGTTACTATTTCACTGGGTGACAGGAATATTTTGCTGCATTATCTCAGGCAGCCACCATGTTTGTGACTCTTCTTGATGGAAATGCTATTAAGTGGCACTAGACTATAAATCTAAAGGTGTTGGATGATACATAACCTTGTAAGTCACTAACTTATGATATTTATGAGACCACAGAACAGGGTAGGGGGATGAAGAGATGTAGCCTCAGGCCTCTTCCCTATGAAATGCTAACGTTTAGAAATTTGGAAGATGAAAAAGAAATAGAAAAGATGGAAAGCAGCAGCCAGTTGAGGCAGGCTGAGAACCAAGGGCCAATGTTAATGCTAAAGGTAAAAGAGGGAAATGTTTAAAGAAATGCTTGCATCATCCCAATGTCACTCAGATAAAGTGTGAAAAATGAGATCTCTCCTAACACCTATTTTGCTGAGAAATCTAATTAGCAAATATATTAAGTATATAAAGATGACACCTGCTGTCATGATCAATGCTGTACATCAGCAGAAACGCAGACCCTGAGCCACCTCTCATTCTTGTCTTCCTGCAGAGGAAACCTAGTAGCACAGTACCATGTAACTCTTGTCCAATTCCTCTCAGTGCTTCTTTACATGATTTCTACACAGCACTCATTGTGCTCAGTATCCTCTAGATGATGATCAGTCAGCAATTCAAACTCATGCTTTTAACTTGCCTGAAGTTGACTTTCCAAAAGGTACATGAAATTTCACATAGCACGTAGACATCCATTTGTTCAACAGATTGAGTGTCTATTGTATGCCATGGACTATAGCAACTGCTGGAAGTGACCTGGTGAGACACAGCCTTAGAGTTTCAGAGTCCCACTATGGAGAATCAATTACTGGGCCATATGAGTACTAGATACTACAGTCAATCAAAGGAGAGGAAGCTACTTGGAGGAAACTGGAAAACCACTTAGACACTAGAAGAAAGAAAATGGTGACCTTCCCAGAGGACACAGAGAAGGAAGGTGCAGGAAGGATGGATGGTAGCACAATAGCTCAAAAATGGTGAGTCTGTGACAAGGCACTGGACCCAGGGAAGGAGAAAAGAGTAGAGTCCATCAGGAGATAGTCAAAGGATAGTGACTGACTGCCTATGAGACAAGAGAGAAAACTTAAGAATTCGGGCTGACCCAAGTGCTTGTCCTATCTTGACATTGTCGCATCCTGGCATTACAGGTTTGAAGGGCTATTAAGGTTGTGGTGACTTTTTATTGTGCTGTGTTTGAAATATGTAGGATTTTTAGTAGTGTGCTAAATGCATGTTTAGAAAGGTCTAGCCTAGAACTCTAGAAAGAAAGAGGTTTAGATATAAGATTTTGGATTTATCAAACTGTTCAGTAGGTTAATTCTGACTGCACTGAAGACAGTGAATGTAAACTAAGGGTAGAGGAAAAAATTCTGTAACTTTTAATATTTAAGCCATGGCTAGAGGATTAGAATTCCACGATACCTTGAACAAGTGGATACAGAGACAGTAAGCAAAGAAAAAAAGACAACAGTATCAAAACCATCAAAGAAAGTTTCTGAAGGGAAAAGCAGTCAATGGGGTCATTCACCTCAAAAAAGTGCGAGTTCATTCCTTGGAAGCACATAGTAAGAATAACCTCACTATGAAACACCTGACAAATTAGGAACTCCAAGTTCCTAGCATGTATATTTTGCTATAACTTCAAATAACCATAGTCCTTTCATATGTGTTGTTTTTGCTTATTAAAAACTCCCCTAAGGGCCAGGGAGATGGCTCAGTGAAATAAGCACTTCCCTGGCAAGTGCAAGGGCCTGAGTTCAATCCCCGGTTCCGCAAAACAAAAAACAAAAAAACAAAAAAAACCTCCCGTAAGCAAATCTATAATTATTCCAAAATAAATACTTTTTAAAGAATCCCATCATGCAATCCTTTTAGAGAGATCCAAAACCATTTGTTTTTCAGTAAGCCTTACATTGCCTAAATGCAGAGCTCACAAACTTAAATATCTGTAGGGACCAGACAAAGCAAATAAATGAGTAAAACCATTTGATTGTAGGTGGGAAGACTCCTCACAACATTAGAAGAACACATCTTCCCTACAAAGAGAAGCTCAGCCAATTCTTACTGAATGGTCATATGGTCCAATCTTACCAGGCTTTCCTAAAAACCTAGAACTCTGAATTTTTATATGAACTCTCCCAATTTTAAAATGTACACAATTAAATTTTTTTCAGAATACTTTGTCACGATATACTTCAGTAGCTCTAAGTTGGCTCACAAATGTTTTACTTTTCTTCTATTAAAGTACAATACAGCACTTTTAAGCTTTCACAGAGAAAATTAAGTGGGCAAAAATAAAGGCTCACAATCAGCAACAAAGCAAGAGCAAGAATTTCATCTGTCATTATATGACCTCTTTACTTAACGAAATATGTACACAGGTTTGCCAGACAAGTTAATAATCACAACAGGCAGTAATAAATGTAGGAAAGATAACATCTGCTTCACAATTAATACAGATGTTCCCCCTCTTCTGAATATTTTTAGGTAGACGTTCCAGGAAATTAATTGCCCGGAATTCATCAGATAATTGTGCATACTTCACAAATGCAGTTTTAAATGTATAGGACACAGTATCTTTAAATAAAATAGTAATTCAGTGAGACTTTATAGCAAGTTTGTAAAATAACATGCGGTAGATCTCTTCAGTTTCTGGAGAAAAGTTTATTGCAGATATAAAGCTGACTGCAATTAAGCCTTTATTTCATAATACAAACTATCAGTTTAAACATTAACATATACTGTCAGTCTACAATTTCCTGTTCAGTGGAGAGATTCCCAAGCTCAGAAGTATATATTTAAAGTATTTCAAGGAAACATGGAGGTAAGTGCAAAGGGCGTGTAAAAGGTAGGGACTGGCATGGCTAATTCTCTTAACAGACCTCTAAGCGACATATGCTGATTTTGTAAAACACAGGTAAAGCAACCTGGCGCCAGAGAGCTGGGTTGGACTGCAGTGAGCCGGTGAGAATCTCTATTCTCGCCTAGCCTCCCCTTCTCACGGAGTCCATATACCCCTTGGTGAAGCAGCCTTAACTTATGAAGTCCTAATGAACGTTAGCTGCGTCCGGCTTTAACATCCGCCTCATTTTGCTTTTCCTTCCGGGAGTCACAAACTAGCAGGAACTTGAAAGAAGTCTTCATCCCAGGAGGCAGGTCTCACCGGTCAGAGTCAACACAGAATCGGTGCGGCCCCACGCTCGTCCAGTTCACCGGCGTCCACTCAACCCTAACCCGAGCTCAACCCACTCGCCTTCCTGCGGCAACATTCACAGCCCAGCCAGAGCGGCCTCACGCGTCCCCGGGCCTGGCGGGGGGCAAGGGACGAGGGGCGGGCTAAGTGTGACTGAGCCAGGGCCGGAGCAGCCAAAGCCCAGAGCAGCCCCACCGCGCCGCGCGCGGACCGCCATGCAAGCAGGCCACACAGCGCTCACCTTCACAACCAGCCCCCGGCCGCCCCGCAGATTGGGGGCCCTGCGCCAGAGCCGAGTTCGATACCCACAACCCGGCGCAGAAGGCTAACACGGCAGCTGGGTTCGCGCACCGCATTCCTAGCCCACAGCAGATCCGCCGCACCGCCTACTCGGCTGTGGCCCGAAGACACTTCAAAAACTCGTAAACCAAACCCGAGGAGAAAGAATCTTCCCGGAGTCGGAGGACAAACGACGCAGCTCAACCAAGAGTTTCCATTGGCTCTCTGTCTTTCGTACGGAAAGGGGCGGAGCGAAGGGCTTCTTCCTGTCGCTCCACTCTTGGCGCGTGCGCACTACATACGCGTTGGAAGGATTTTGAGGGACGCACTAACACTATTGGCTGGCTGGCCGTGAGGAAAGGCGGGATCTTAACGCTGATTGGTGGCGATGCGGGAGTTCGGCGCGCCGGGCAGCACGCAGTGGGCGCGGGCGGTGGGGAAGCAACGTGAGTTCTCCTTGGTTCCTGACTGGTCTGTTGGTCGTCTGGTACCCTTTGGCGTGAGAAGCCGGTCGTTACTGCGGCTACGGTCCCTGCCGCCTCATGGCGGCCATCGGCGTCCACCTGGGCTGCACTTCAGCCTGTGTGGCCGTGTATAAGGTGAGGGCTCAGGCGGCCCGCCAGGGATTTAACGCCGGCCCCTAGCTCTCCGGCCCGGGTCAGCTGCGGCGTGTAGACGCCGCGTGGGTGGCCCGGGACGCGCGCGGGGTGGCGTTGCTGTGGGGCGGGGTCGAGCGGCGTCTCAGAGGACCCACTACAGGGCGTGGGGTGAGACTGCAGGCTGCGTCGGCGTGGAGTCCGGGGATGACCCGGCGGCGAGCTCCCTGGGGGTCTGGGGCGGCGGGGCGTGGGAGGTGGCCTGACTCGGGGGATGTAACGGGGACGTCAGGACTTACGACATCTCGAAGAGCCCAGGCAGGGGGCGTTCGGGACTGTGGAGGGGTCTTGGTGATACCTGGGCTGTAGTGTGTGGAGCTGAGTCAGTGGCACCCTGGGCTCTGGATCCGGAGGGGTGGTCTCTGGGGATCGGGGTTCGCCGGTTGGGCCGCGAGGTCCGCCCTCCGCAAGGGGCTGGCGGCTTTCGGAACGCTTGAGCGCGCTGTCTGTGGGGCGGTCGACGTTCGCATTCTACAAACTTGGCCCTGCGAAAGTGAGAGCTTGCTGCGAGGTTGTGACCTTGTTCTTGTCTGTATCAAGGCAGGACGAACAACGATTGTGAACTCCGTTACTAGGCCAGAGTATACGTGTTACAGGATTTGTGAGGAAAATAGAGTAAAGAGGGAGGAAAGATGTGTTTATAGGAGAAGAAAGCTAGGCAGACAGGGTTATGTACTAATGCTTGTTATTTTGTTGCTTATTTTGTTGCTTTTATAACTGTATGTATGTATGGAAATGTTAGGTTTGGTCCTGTTGTTGACTATGCATAGTTAAGTAATCAGAAAAAATGAGGCAGTTCTATAAAATCTAGAAAATTAATACTAGTGATCAAATCTGTAAGTGTTAAGGTATTGATATAGCAGGTTTTCCTTCCACATAGGTTTAAAAGTAGCATAGACTATGTGTGACTCACATCTAATAAGGCTATATATTTTATTCTAGGACTAACACACTTGTGTGGTTTTTTTCTAGGATGGCCGGGCTGGTGTTGTTGCAAATGATGCAGGTGATAGAGTTACTCCAGCTGTTGTTGCCTACTCAGAAAATGAAGAGGTACTATTCTTTTTATACTTAGAGATAGCTAAAAAATCATATGCATTACAACATGTTACTCTTTTTTAGGTGGTAGGACTGGCAGCAAAGCAAAATAGAATAAGAAATATTTCAAGTACTGTCATGAAAGTCAAGCAGATCCTTGGCAGAAGGTATGGAATAAAATAGTGTTCTATAATATAGCATCTAAAATGTTTTCATTTATTAGTCTTAAGTAGAAGGTGAATACTTGAAAAACCACAGCTTATTTTGTTGCTTTTATAACAATCATTTCAGAGAATACCCCAGTAGATTGTTTCTTTTGATTTTTGTTGGCTGTTCACCAAGGATGGGATTCACTAAGATACTTGATTCTTCCTGAGAAGTCAGTATTGATAAATACCAGCACCCATTTATTTTTGACAGTTTGTCTCATTTGGAGATGGTTATTTTCACTTTTTTTTTTCTGTACCAGGGCTCAAACTCAGGACCTTGTACTTTCCAGGCATGTGCTTATGCTGCTGAACTATCTCCCTGGCCCACATTTTTGTAATTTTTAACTAAAAGTAAAATTGTGGAAATTTGAAGACTTCCTTGCATGGGGTTGAATTTTGTAGGATCTTGTAATTGGTCACAATTTATGTAGAAACTATTGATTTTCTTGCTCAAGGTTGTTTGTAAGGCTTTCTGGGAACTAACTTCTAGTTGGCTTACAAATTTAATCATTAGAGAAACAGCTGAAAGTAATGTCTTATGTACGAGTCAGGTTAATCATCTGGTGTAATGTTAATTAGAAGATTAAAGAGACTTGCTTCCCCAGACTTGTGTGTCCTCAAATTATAGATTACCATAATAATTAGGGGTTTTCATTTTCACTAGAATAGTAGCACTTGATAGAGTGGTTTTAAATTTTCAAAGTGCTTTCACATCTATTATTTTATTTAAGCCTTTCAACATCCCTATAAAAATTGATAGGGCAGATATTCTCTCCCATTTATAGATGAGAAAACTGAGGTACATGGAAGAGTGATATTTTTAAGTTAATTACAGAGGTAAACTAAATAAAACTACAGCTCAAGTCTCTTAACCCTCATCCCTAGGTTCTGATGTCCCCTCCTTCCCCTCCCCCTGCCTTGTGCATGTCAGGCAGTTACTCTACCACTGAACTATACCCAGCTCTGCAGCCATTGTATTTCATTTGATTACAATTTATTTCCTTGTATTTTAGGATTTGGAGATTAAATATTGGATTTAATATTCATTTCTTTTGTATGTACAGATATTTTTATATTAGTATATTTTTCCTTTCAGTATTTTTAGAAACTATTCTATTTTGGAGAAGATTCAAGTTTTTGTGGTGGTAAATCTATTCCTATATTCTCTACTTGTTGAAAAAACCTAGTACAAAGCATACTAAAATTGTTTGGTGTCAGATATTTTCAAATCATACATTCTGGGAAAAAGCAAGAAATTGTAGTAAGTCTTGGAGCCGGAATCACTGCATAGCTAACAATTTGTTTTTTAATTAAACTTTATTTTGAGGTGACTAGACTCATCTGTTGTTTAAGAAAAGAATAGAGGCATCATGGTTGCACAACTATAGTTTAATATCAGAAGTAGCAAATTGATATGAATATACTCAAAATACCGAACATTCGTATGAATATATATCCCCTGGTAGCCAACATGTATTTGTTTTTTATGCTGCTATTTGGGGGCAGGTGGCTGGAGTAATGATGACTCTGTCTTCTGCCTTAAGCTCAAATTTTATATTAGAAGAATGGCTTGAGCTTAAATTTTTGGCCCTCAGAGTTACTTTTTAGCAAAGAAACATAATAATGCCAGTCAGGTGAGTACCAGCCACAGCTTGATACCTTCTGTAGGCCCTCAAGTTAGTTTCCTCATGCTCCAGGTTATTTTCCTGTTCACCTGTTTTTTCACCAGACATTGCTGATTTTTACAGACACATAGTTGTACCAGTTGTCAGCCTTGCAAGTATTTGGCCCCTTATGGAGGAGCCTGTCCTTTTGTTAATAAGCTGTTGAACCCTTAGTCCAGTGCCCACCTTGGGTGAATTCCTAAGATGGGCTTTCTCAGTCTTGGGGTCATGCCGATTTATGACCTACTCTTGGGTAGCACTGCTTAACTTGCTGCCAAAATGATCCTTACACCCTTTCTGTAACTCTCATTCCCTGTGGCCTTCCAGTCAGAAATGCGGTCCTTGGACCTGACTTCTCAGCAATTAGCCCTGAGAGGGAAGAATCGGCTGGCTCCTGGGAATACGCTGAGAGCACACAGAACTTCCCCACACCTTCACATTTGCACCTTGCTGCCCAAGCGCTTGCTTCAGTAGTCTTCTTAGCCCACTATGGCCACTGCTAATAGCAGTGCGGGCATCCGGTGGTCCAGACAGGAGACACGAACTCTTCTCTCCATACTAGGTGAGGCAGAATATATTCAACGCCTCCAGACTGTGCATCACAATGCAGATGTCTATCAGGCTGTGTCTAAGCGAATGCAACAGGAAGGCTTCCGCCGCACCGAACGTCAGTGCCGCTCCAAGTTTAAAGTTCTGAAGGCATTGTATTTAAAGGCCTATGTTGCTCATGCCACAAGTATGGGTGACCCACCACACTGTCCGTTTTATGACACATTGGATCAGCTGCTTCGAAATCAGATAGTGACTGACCCAGACAACTTAATGGAGGCTGCTGCTTGGGCCAAACACTGTGATCAGAACTTAGTGGCCTCTGGCACACCAGGGGAAGAGGGAACCAGCATTCTGAAAGCAAAAAGGACTCAGGCAGCTGACCGTCAGCCTGTCTTGAAAACAGTTAAGGAATCAGATGATGATTGTCAGCTGAGAATCAGTGACCGGATCCGAGAAACCAGTGACCTAGAGGACTCCTGGGATGAATCCTCGGGTGCAGGTAACTCCCAAGCATGTTCAGGATTGGGGTCTCGGGGTCACTTAATTCTAAGCAACAGTGAACATTGAAATAGTGCTCTCTTCAACTGCTGTTTCTACCCCACCCCGTCCTTTTTATTAAACCTGATAGTAGAATTAAGGGCTGTAACTTTAAAAAGCTCTAACCCTAGGTATATAAGGTGTTAGAATTCTTGAAACCTAAAAGACATACCCTCTTAGAAATAAACTAGTTTTGGCGTTACTGGTAATGAGTAGTTAGAAATAGATGGGGAAAATAGTAGTTAGAAATAGATGGGTTGGATAGCCACATGGAAAGGGGTTCTGGAAAGCAAGAGGGAAGTCTTGGAGTCTTGGAGAAGAGATTACAATAGGCAAAATGTTCGTAGTACGGAATAAGTTTTTTCCAACTCTTGTAGAAAGAGACCTTTCTGAGAATAGCCTTAGTTTTGACTCAGCTTTGCTGCTGGCTCCAGGCATTCCCTTAGTAGGAATGTCCTCTCTGCAACATTGTTGCTTTGTTTTTCAGGGTGCTCTCAAGGGACCCCCAGCTACAGCAGCTCCCACAACCTTTTCAGAGGTACAGTTGCTCCCTGTCAGAGCAGTCCCATGACCAGTCTGGGCATGTCGGGTGAGCCCAGTCCTTCCACCAGCACCAGCCGAAACCCTCCTGGTGCAGCCTCCACACTGCAGCCTCCAGTCTTCTCTTCCAGATTTGGTTTTGTCTCTGCTGGGGATAGGCCTGTGGCCAATGAGGCCCCACCAAGGTGGGCAAGGCGAAGAAGGCGGTCAGTGGCCAGGACTATTGCAGCTGAGTTGGCAGAAAACAGGAGATTGGCACGAGAACTTTCAAAGCGAGAGGAAGAAAAACTGGACAGGCTAATTGCTATTGGTGAGGAGGCCAGTGCCCAGCAAGACACTGCCAATGAGCTGCGCAGGGATGCTGTCATCGCAGTCAGACGCTTGGCAACGGCAGTGGAAGAGGCCACTGGTGCTTTTCAGCTAGGGCTTGAAAAATTGCTTCAGAGGCTGATTTCAAATACCAAAAGCTAGGAACTGATTACAGAAGCATGCATTTCCTAAACTGGTAGAAGTCTACTTCCAGCACCTGCCTCCTGGTTCCCTCACTTTCTGTGTCTTCAGAAGAGAGAGGAGATGAATCATTAATATGTAGAGTGGTAGGGGTTTACTTGTGAGTTCCTTTTCCCAAGATCCTCCATTAGTTGAAAAATCTTCCTGAAATGTGAGGGATGGCCTAATAGAAAGCAGATGGAGCCAAGTCCAAGAGCCAATTTGTTCTGGCTTTGTCTCTAATATGAGACAATCTTCTTTACCTCTCTATGACAGTTTCCTCATCTGTAAAATGGGGGACAGATAATAAATAACTCCTGCCCTGCCTACCTCACAGGGTTGTTGTGAGGATCATGTGGCTAATAGATGTGAAAGAATTTGAAAGTACTATACATAATGTAAGTTATTAGTGCACATGACCTTGGCCAAGGCAAGGTTAGATGAGCATGTTCACAAGACATAGGACTGCAATTGCATAGCATGACCTCATTGCTTAAATCATTACTGGATTAATTTGACTGCTTCACAGAGTTTGAGATCTTGGTTTTTCAAGCCCTCCTGTGGCTCATTAGCCTACTGTAGGCACAACATATGTTTGTACCTTTATCTCTTACCTTTGCTGCAGTGGCTCTGACAGGTCTACTAGTAAGAACTTACAATAGTCAAAGGAGAGTATTCTCTCCTGCATTGTACTGGTTCTTGTCTCCTGTCAAGATAAGGATGTAATTAAGAACTGACAGGCAACCACAATTAATAGTACATTGTGGTTCATATCAGTAGTGATCTTGGGTATGGTGAGATATTGGCTGTTTCATAAGATAGTAAATGTAAGTAAATTATTTGGTGTTTTATATTATTTGGGTCATTTTATGCAGATGTTATATCTTTAAATTGTAGTTGCCATTTGAACATTATGGGAACAATTTGGATTGTGTCAGTTTCCAATCTGCTTTTAGTTAATTTTGTTCTTTTAGCTGTTTTTGGTTTTGTTGTTTTGATCTATTTTGTTAAAGAGGGGCAAGCCTTAGGAAACTTTCCGAGGTCACTTTTTCTCAAATGATACAAACAGAAGTTCAGTTTGTTAATAGCATATGGTAAAAGAGATGAACTTCGTTTTGCCTTTAGCTTTGAAAACACTATAGATAAAGATTGTAATAAATTCTTAAGCACAAGCACTCAGCACATATACCCTCCACCTCAGTACACATTGTTGGGGAGAGATGAAGCTACTTTTCCAGTTAACTAAAAAGAAAACAACTACTGGCCATCACTTACGTTAATTTAAAGCTTTTAGTGGTTTATTTAGTACTTTCAGGAAATACAAACAGGTATTGTTGGGATTTAAAAGGAATACTTTGGGAAATACAGATGGGAGCATTTGGGATGTAAGAGGTTTTCCTGCAACCAAGACACGGAAAGACAAGCAGGAGGTGTGTTGGGAGGGGTTGTGTTTTATACATACCAGGCTCAGATACTTATCTAAATGTTGGAAATGCACTTAGGTGGAAAGATGTCAGTATCACAAACACCACAGGTGGCAAGTAGGCCAGCAGCCAGGGTGAATGCCTGCTGGGCGTGTGGAGCAGCGGGGGTGCGACACGAATCTGGTTAGAACTGCTGGACTGTAATCCTGGCACACTTCATTTCATTGGGTGAATCACTTTGTATGCCTCAATTTCTGTTTCTAAAATGACAGATTTGTACCAGATACTTTTTCTAGTACCTTTCAATTCTAAAAATATTTTAAGTAACATAATTTAAGAATACAAAGTGAAATTTCAGTTGTCACAGATTCCATGCCTTCAAGACACATATGTTTGTAATCCCAGCACTTTGGAGGCTGTGGCAGGAGGCTCGTCACATGTTTAAGGCCAGCCTAGGCTACATTGTGAGTTCAAGGACAGCCTGAACTAAAATAGCACTACCCTGTCTCAAAAAAGGGGGAGGGGGGAATGTAAGTTAAGGCATTGAAAGACACACACACATAAACACATCTTAATTGTCTTAGGCTGTTACATGGAGGGATGTGTGTCAGAACTGGAAATCACTAATAAAGATTAAATAGATCGTCTGGGAAAATGGAATACTTAACAGTGAAAACTACCATATAAATGTAATGGCAGGAAAGTGTATGGGCAGGGATTTATTTAAAATAATTAAAAGTGCTAAGAGCAAAAGTGCTCAGAACTGGAGTTAACAGTTTGGAGGCACTTTTGTCAAAATCTAATGGAGAAGTGCAACAGTGTGGGAATAAAACTCAAGAAAGGGTCCTAACAAATAGAAAAATATGCCCAGAATATTGTGGGGAGAAAGGTTACAATGAGAGACCATGTGCTGGGAAGCAAGCAGAGAGTCCTGCCTACACTTTGTTTCCAGACCCACTACCTGGACAGCCTCACAAACCTTTCGCCACTGCCTGGCTCAGGTTCCTCCCTTATGTGGGACCAAATGATTGTCCCACCTACCTCACAGGGATGTTGTGAGGACCCACAAACAGATGAATGTGAAGCATGTTAGATGAGTAGACACATAATGATTGGGGAAAGAGAATGGTGCAGTATAGTGCCATGGTGACTATCAGAGGTGTTTAGGAGGAAGAGCAAGAAAATATGGCATGCTGAGAACATTGTGATGCAATGGTAGGATCCATACTGTTTCCTGAAGACCATGATGTGAATGTGGTGCTTGTGTGTATTGACCTCCCACTACCTTCACTACCTTTGTGTTTCTGTTAAGTAATTTAATCCTAGTGTGGACAAATAAAGTTTTTACTTGTATGTAGTTGTGGGTTTGTCTGCTATTTTCTGGTGATACCTGTGCTGCTTTGTCACCTCCATTCTCTGCTTTTTACTTTCCTGCTTTTGATACTCCCTGTCTTGCCTGTGTATGGCCCTAAGATCTCTGTGTGCTTTCTGTCCTCAGATGAGAGAGATCCTTTTTGAATAGCAGTTGAGAACTTGTTTTCCATTTCTAAGAGTTCTGTAAGTTCCACAAAATATCTTTAAAAGTTAATCTGTCTGATCAGTGGATAACCCACACACAGTAGGGTAAATTGTTTGGTTGTCTTAAATTCTATCCTAAAGAGAACAGCCTATGAGTTTCATGCTTGAAATTATGAATATATTTTCATACTTTTTTTTCTAGTCTTAAAGTACTCATCTGGAATGTAGTCTAGGTGGTTAAAGGGAGAGCAAGTTTAATGGGAAAAATACTTTAACTTTTGTAATAAACACCTGGATACCTTCCCATCAGGGCATTAATTAGCAGTGTCACTTTCAGCCAGCTCCTCTCCTGTTAATTGCTATTTTACGTGATAGGACAAAAGAACCTGAAAATAATGAAAAAAAATTTGAAACCTAGTTAGTCTGTTTTGTCTTTCTTTTATTTATATAGATGATCTTCAGCGTTTTTATAGCCCTTCTACAATTAACCACTATTAATTTTTATTGTTATTAAGCACTTAAAGTTGGTTTCTTTATAAAGTAGCCAGAGCTGTTTGGAATCCTACTAAGAAGGATACTAGTCCATTTCATCCTTATTTCTAGGTAGAATTAAGCCAAGGGTCAGCGATTGCTATGTCTTCTGGGGTGAAGGTACGGTGGTCATTTATAGTATTAGTGGGAGACAGTGTGCTCAAGAATAAACAAGGGTTGCCTGGTAGCCTGATAGATAAGACCAAGGGTCAGTTGGTTCTGCTCCTTAGTGTGAGTCATTGCCCCTCTCTGAACATCTTTAAAATAATGACCAGGGCAAGATAAATAATAAATAAATAATAATGCCCAGGGTTGGGGAGAGAGCTTAGCTTAAATGCCTGCCTGGGAAGCACAAGGTCCCGAGTTTGATCCCTGGTACACACCCCCCCCCCATGAAAAGACTTTGCTAACTCTCAAAATAATGCCCATGAAACTTGAACCCTTTTAGGTATTGTGAGGATGAAGTAGGTGAAAATGTTCTGTAGTATGCATGAATTGGTATTGCTGTCTGAAGCAACACAAGGCCCATTGCTTTAATCTTTTCTTGCCATATACATTTAATAGTATGGGGCATCATTGTAGTTCTGTATGTATAGGTACTGTAGTACTCTGCACTATATACAGCATTCATACTTAGGCTCTATCGTTCAGTTTTGGATATTCTGTACAGAAACCAAATAACCAAGATGATATTAATGAGATCTGCTCTCAGTTTGCAGTCTTACCTCCTTTTATCCTTTCTATCTTAGTGGTTGGGGCTTCATGATCTAATGTGAAAGTTTGTGACGTAAATTCAATGATAAAATGGAAAGTCACATGCAGCTTGGTCAGCACAAGAAAGAGTACTTTCAGTTGTGCAGATTAACACTTTAGGGGAATTACTATAACCATCCTAAATGTTCCATTGAATTCTTATTTCTGTAATATTAGAAGACTTACTGAGCAATGTAATTTGTTTATATTTTAATATTTGTTGACATTGAAAAGTACAGTCTTTAAACCTTATATATAACTTTGATACTAATTTTAATACTCAGCTACCTTTATATCTTTCTCTGTGGACAGCTCTGATGACCCACAAGTTCAGAAATACATCATGGAAAGTAAATGTTTAGTGAGTATGATTCTGTTATTGCTTCCTTGTTGTACAGAGTGCCAAAGGTCTTGACAGGTAATGTTGTTTTTAAACTTCACATTTGTATTAAAATTATTCTTTATTTAGCTCAACTATAATTTTTTTTATAGGTCATTGAGAAAAATGGGAAATTACGATATGAAATAGATACCGGAGAAGAAAAAAAAATTGTTAACCCAGAAGATGTTGCCAGACTGATTTTTAGTAAAATGAAAGGTATTGAACAAAAAACAGTTAATTTTAAGTGATTTTTTAATTTAATGTGTTTGGTACAGGGTCTCACTAAGCAGCTCAGACTCGTAGTGATCCTCCTGTCTCAGCCTTCCTGGCACTGGGATTATAGGCAGGCATCACCATGCGTGGTTGTCAGGCCTGGGGCAGGGCCAGCATGGCATGCGGTACCAGGGATCAAACCTGGGTCCTTGTGCTTGGCTAGGAAGGCATTTAGACCGCTGAGCTATCTCTGCAGCCCTTAAATGATCTTTTGAAAGTTGGCCTCTACCAAGTAGGAGTAGTTTTGGACCTTGGGAGAAGTAGCCTAACTCTTTTGGACAGTACTGAGCAGATTAGCAATAAGAAGACCTAAACTATGTATGTGATTTGGCCACTTTCTGCCTTGTAATTTCACCTTCTATGACTTACCTTCCATGATTATGATTTCACTGTAGTACTAGTTGAGTCTCCCTCATCTGAAATACCTGGAACTGTAAAATACTTTAGATTTTGGGGTTTTGGGGGTTGTTTTTTCTTAAGATTTGGGCATTATTTATATAGATCTTATTGATTGAATATCTCTAGTCCAAAATTCTGAAATCTGAAATGCTCTAAAAGTCTTAACTCTTTCTGGACACTGATTTAGAGCATTTCAGAGTTCATATTTTCAGTTTAGGTAACATAAATGAATTGGGCCAGATTAATACTTTGAACATTTTTTTGAGATTTGACCAAGTAAACATGACAAATAGTAAATATCTTCAAGATTAATAGTAAGGGCCAGCCAAATAGCTCAGCGGATTAAAGTGCCTGCAAGCAGGCGCAGGGGCCAGGATTTCATTCCCCAAGCCTGCTATGCCAGCTCCGCCTGCAGGGTGCTCTGAGATGGCAGTTGAGACTGGGCGCTGGGCATGGTGGTGCACACCTGTAATCCCAGCTCTTGGGAGGCTGTAAACAGGCTGATCACCATGAGTCCATCTAGTAGTAAGACCCTGAACACCCTGTAGACCCTTTCCTAAAAATTAAAAAAAAAAAAAGATTAATAGTAAACTCTTGACAGTAATTTAGGCAGGAATATGTCTGGTTTTATCACCACTTTAAACAAAGTACAGTAAGTTGAGCAGTGTTCTGTGGAACGATTTGGGAAATTCTAGAGTAGATTATTTGCAAGGCTTATTTCCACTCTGGAATTGTTAGGAATCTGAGAGGAAAGGCGGCCTTTTAACATACTGAGTATAGTGATATGTCTCCAGGTTGGCTTATTAGAAGCCTGTTCTCTGTGGCAGTGAATCTGATTTGAAGACCGTTGAAACTGAGGCGTAACTGTGCCTTTTTGGACAGTACCTAGTTCTAGGTCCACAGTGCTCACCATTGGCCGGGGAGATAGCTCAGTAGAATAAGTGCTTGCTTGGCAAACTCAAGGACCTGAGTTCAATCCCCAGTTCCACAAAAAAAAAAAGAAAAAAGAACTTACTCCTCCTAGAGAGTGCCCACTATATGACCTCACACAGTGCTCACCACAACCATCATAAAGTACACAAATTATTGTGTGATTTAAGAACTCAAGAAATTGACAGGTGGAAACATCAACTGAATTTAAACATTTGTTTTGTGAGATCTTTGGCATAAATTAGGATACATCAGAAAATATATCTTCACATTTATTTCTGTCATTAGAATTTTTGCTATGCGTAGCAGCACACATTTAATCCACAAACTCAAGAGGCTGATGCAGGAGGATTGCTATTAGCTTGATGCTACCCTGGGCTACATAGTGAGTTCAAGCCCAGCCTAAACTATATAACCAGACCTTGTTTCTGAAAAACAACACAAATACATTTATTTTTATATGTTTCAATGTATAGAAACGGCACATTCTGTCTTGGGCTCTGATGCAAATGATGTGGTTATTACTGTTCCATTTGATTTTGGAGAGAAGCAAAAAAAGGCTCTTGGGTAAGTATAATATAGAGTTTATTTTTCTTAAAAGAAATGCAAATTTCACAATACCATATTTCATAATACAAAATTATATTTGAAAATAGTGTAACATAAAATTGTATTGTAAATACTTTAGTATGGTGATAATCATTGTTTCCTTTTATGAAATGCCAAAAACACCTAACATTTAGATATAGTTTACCGTTCTAGCTATTTTCATAGAGAAGTTTCATAATTACCATATTAAACTGTTATGTACAAATCATTGCCTATTTCATATATTTAAGATTTATGTGTGAATTATATAAGAATATACAATCATAGAAAATATTTGTAATTATTTTTCATGTTAGGCCATAGTATTAAACCAAAAAGTTAACATTGTTTTTACAGGTAATAAGGCAAATGTAATTATCAAGCATGTATCCCTTTGCTTTGCTGGGTGGAGTTCCATTTGGGATTTTGGCAAGCACCGAAGTGACTGTTTTTTGTTATCCCCCAGATGCTTATATTACCAGTTTTTGATCTTTGGACCTTTGCACTGAACTATATCCCCAGCCCAATTTTATTTTTAGATAAGATCTTATTAAGTTGCTAAACTGCTTGGAATGGGCTTAAATTTGTGACCTTCCTATCTCAGCCTCCCAGAGTACTATTGTTACAGGCATGTGCCACTGCACCCAGCTGAAACTCTTTCTGAGAGAGAATTGTCTTAGTTCAGTAGTTCCCTAGATTTAAAAAAATTGGAAAAATTTTAAAACTTTTCATAAACTTACCTTAATCTCTCATGAACATTTTTCCTCATTCAGCTAATATTTGTTAAATGTCTTTGCTAATTAAGCCACATTGTACTCACAAAGATGAGTAAAACATGATTCTGATCTCACAGAAGTATCAGGAGAGTTTGGTAAATGTTTTGTATGAGAAATTCTACATAATGAGGCAGAGCATCTCTCAACTTTGAGAGTCCAGAAAGAGACCACCACTACCACCACACAAAAAGAGTGAACTTTTTTCATCGTGGCCATTTCTAAAAGCTTTTTTTGGCTGGGTACTGGGAATCAAATTTAGGACTTCAGGCTTGCTAGGTAGGCCTTGAGTTGCTGAGCCTTATCCCTGTGCCCCCAAGAGCTTTATTTTTCTTATTCAATGTAAGCATGTATTTTCTTCTTCAAGAAAATGGACTCTGAAAAAAAAAAAGGCTGGCCAGATAGCTGAGCTTACTAAAGCGCTTGCTTAGGCAGAACGCAGTGGCTGGCGTTCTATCCGAGGCATGCTGTGCCAGCCCTGCCCCCAGGGCTCGCTGAGTCAGTGACTGAGACTGGGTGCAGTGACAATGCCTGTAATCCCAGCACTTGGGAGGCTGAAAATAGGAGAATCCCTACTAGTCCGATCTACCTAGTAAGACCCTATAGGCCCTGTCCTAAATACATTAAGAAAAAAAGAAAATGGACTCTGAACATTGTAGTGTTTAACAGAAAGAGAACTATTAGAGAATAACTTCCATTTCACATGTTCATCCTTGTTTCCAAAGATCTTATATGTCTCATCCATTTATAGAATCTTACCTATTACATAAATTTGTAGCACAGCATCTCTTAAAGTATCAGATTTAAGCTGTTGTGATATTAAATCCACTAAAAGCAAATTGTTCACAGAGAAGCAGCTGGAGCAGCTGGATTTCATGTCTTACGATTAATACATGAGCCATCTGCAGCTCTTCTTGCTTATGGAATTGGTCAAGACTGCCCCACCGGAAAAAGGTAAAAAGTCACAGTCATTCTTTAAGGTAGTGGCTCCCAACCACTAAGGATGAAAGATAATGAAAATTTCAGAGTTTTTCAAACAGTTGGGGAAACAAATGCTTTGAAAGCAGAGAAAGGACATCACAGGAAGGAAGATTGAGCTTTTCAATCCTTCTCTTACTGCCCTCCTTTTGTCCCTTTATTAGAGGAAGATTGAAAAGTTATTCGCTGGCCCACTTCCAACATAAGCTAAGACACTTGATATTGCCAGCATTTCCAATGATTACACATGTTTCTAAATAGTGGCTACTATTTTATGTACATTGGACTTGGCAGGAGATGAATGGAAATCTTGCATGAAGAGTGAAGACTTCAGACCTGCTCGACCCTAACTTAGCTATGTCCTACCTGTCTCTAGATCTGATTGTCATGACAATTGGAGAAATTAATTCAGATATTGTATTAACTTTCCCTAATTATTTTACCTTACTCAGCTTCTTATAGTTAAATTAATATGTATTAGTCACTTGGAAATTATTTTTAGGTAAACTAGATAAATACAGAAATATCAGATTATAAATTTTGATAAACAAGACATAGGGAATTAACTTCTACAGTTTTGCACCTGTAGAACATGTAGTAGTAACTAACATTAACTCAGACTAGTATAGGACATAATAAAATGTATAATATTTAACACAATAACCTCATTAGAATTTCTATTTTTAGTTATTTTGAAATTCATTATAATCACTAATGTCTTCCTGATTGACTTGGAAAGTTAGTGTTTTGAACTCTGGCTACTGAATAGTTTTACATGTATTTTCCAAATAAGAAGATAAAAAATATGGATTCAGAATATATAGGTTCAAGGCTAAATTCATCACCAAGTCACTGTAGACACTTACTCATTTGAGAGTTTCAGTTTCCTCATTTGTGATTTAAAAGGATTAAATTATTTCTAATGTGTAACCCAGCTTTAAAATGTGATTTTATGATAAATTACACACTTTCTCTTTGCCTTGAAGCAATGTTCTGGTATTCAAGCTTGGAGGAACATCCTTATCGCTCAGCATCATGGAAGTTAACAGTGGGATGTATCGGGTTCTTTCAACCAACACTGATGATAACATTGGAGGTGCACATTTCACAGCAGCCTTAGCACAGTACTTAGCTTCAGAGTTCCAGAGGTGAGTAGTGATGGCCTCGGTGATGCAAAAGAGCATATTTCTTTTTTTTTGACGGACACCAGATTATCTTTACCTCTGGAGTTTCGGCGTCCTTAGGGCAGAGTTTGTCAGCTACAGTATTGCAAAAACTTAGAGCTCAGCAAATTTTTTTTTTAATCATTGTGAGTTGCTCTTACTCTTTTTCTTTTTTTCATGATATAGAAGATTAGATCCAATTGCCTTTGAATTACACTATAGGCTTAGCACCTTTTTTATTTTTTATTCTGATTTTTTAAAACATTTATTCATTTATTTATTTGGTTCAGGGTCTCACTACGCAGCTTGGACTTAAAAGTTTGGTCCTGGTGGAGTTAATATTATCATCCTGTTCCATGAGTTAATGTCTCTTGTTTTGTTTTGTTTTGATTTTGGTTTTTCTGAGACAAAGTCTTGCCAAGTAGTTTAGACTGGCCTCAAACTTGCAGCAATTTCAGTTTCCCAAGTTTTGCGATTATAGGTGTGTGCCACCAAGCCTGGTGAGTTAATGTCTTACAAAGTATTTGTTTCAATTACTAATCTACAATAATATTTTAGTCTTTTTTAGTGGTTATAATTACTCCACTTAAAAGTCTTAATTCTGTTTGGACATATCAATCTAATAAAGATTATATTTTAGACCTTACTACTGTGAAAAACTGTAGTTGAGATAATACTGTTTTTATACAAGGTTGACCAAATTCTTCAGTTAAAATAATTCTTAAAAAACTGTTGTATTTTCACTCATTTGAGAAAGACCTGGCTGGCAGGCAGATTCAGTCATGCAGACCTATTGGGACCCCTTCTGGAGTGTAGGAAAATCCACCTGGTGCCAGGCAACCCTCCAAGATGCTAGTAATCAAAAAAGTTTCCAAAGAGGATCCTGCTGCTGCCTTCTCTGCTGCATTCACCTCACCATGATCTCACCATGCAAACGGAAATAAATCATCAACCATGGTTCCAAGTGTCTCTAAGAACCTGGTTCCTAAGCCTGCACCACCTCCTTCCAAGCCCAATGCATGGAAAACTTAACAGAATGGAATGGAACACAAATCAGGATCCCTTTCCTCTAGCTGGGAGTCTGCTTTTACCAATCCAATTTCTGTTACCAAACCAGTGGTACTGGCTGGTGGTGTAGTTCTAAGCTCTCCCAAAGAGAGTCCCTCCAGCACTACCCCTCCAGTTGAGATCAGCTCCTCTCGTCTGACCAAGTTGACCCTCGAATTACCGACAGGAAGAGTGAGTTCCTGAAGACTCTGAAGAATGACCGGAATGGAGACTCCTCAGAAAACAGAGACTGAAAAGCTGGATGATTTGGAGAACAGCACACCCGAACCAAAGGAAAATGAGGAGCAAGGCTGTCTTCAGAATGGTCTCTCTCTCCCTGTTGTGGAAGAAGGGCAGGTCCTCTCACATTCTCTAGAAGCAGAATACAGTTATTGAAAGCAATGGGATGGCAGGACTATCCTGAAAATGGTGAGAATTGCCTTCCACTCACAGAGGATGAGCTCAAAAGAGTTCCACATGAAGACAGAGCAGCTGAGAAGAAATGGGCCTCTTTTCTCCTTGGAGAAACACTTGTAAAGCAGAGTTTGAGGATTCTGACACCGAAACCAGCAGCAGTGAGACGTCAGATGACAATGCCTGGAAGTAGGCAGGACCTATACTGCTTTTTATTACACAGATACTGGTGGGATTTTTTTTTTTTTTTTATTAGTACAGGGTCTTATTACACAGATCGGACTTGTAGTGGTCCTCCTGTTTTCAGCCTCCTAAGTGCTGAGATTACAGGCATACGCTACCATGCCTAATCTCAATAACTTTCAGTGTGCTCCAGGGGTGGAGCCAGCACAGCACGCCCGAGATCAAAACCTGGTTCCTGCACTTGTCTAAGCAATTGATTTAGTCCGCTGAGCTATCTGGCCAGCCATAAAGATGTTATTTTACCAAAAGTGAATGATTGTTACTTAGCCAGCGGTTTTAAAAATTAACTCACATTGGAGATAGAACTTTTGTGTATTTTGTATTTGCAGAAGCACCTTTAGATTTCTTTGATTTTTTTTTTTTAGTGCTTAACTGATAACTATTGATCAGTGATTATGCCACAATTGTAAAGGCTGAGTTAAGAGACAATTACATATGTCTCCTGCAGTCTGTGTTTATCTCACCTGTAAAAAAATGATAGCTATTTTATATTCTTCACAGTACAATCTGTTATTATGGTTATACATTATAGCAAATCAGAGGGCCAGCCAAATAGCTCAGTGGATTAAAGCGCCTACAAGTGGGTTCAGGGGCCGGGGATTCAGTCCCCTGGTCTGCAGTGCTGGCCCCGCCCCTGGGGCACACAGAAATGACAATTGAGACTGGGTGTGGCGGTGCCTGTAATCCCAGTTCTTGGGAGGTTGTAAACAAGCAGATCACTACATGTCCAATCTAGTAGTGAGAACCTAAACACCCTGTAGACCCTTCCCTAAAATACAAAAAAAAAAAAAAAAAAAAAAGTGTTGCAATTCAAAGTAGAAATTGATTACTTTTTTTTCTCAAAGGGACTGTCCTTTTAATTGTAGAGAATATTTGTAACAAAATTTTGAAGGATTAGAAAGCCAAATGCCTGGAGGGTTAATAACCTAAGTTTGCAGACCAAAATTAGAGAAAAAGGAGGGCTGCAAGGAAAGTCAACATTTTGGCCTTAGCCTTCCAAGGTCAGTTAAGACTCAGGACATATGAGAACTTGTACTGTAACGTCATGTAGCTTGGTAGTGTCCCAAATTTTCTGATCAAGGAGATTATGGGGCCAAAGAGTAAAGTGATTGATGATGTAGAGTGTGTCTAAGGAGAGTTACATGGAGAAAAAACATTCTCTCAGGCTTTCACGGAGAACACATTGGCCAAGCAATGGCCGTGACTCATCCACATGGCTGACACTGACAAAGGTTCTACAATCTGAGGTACAGGATCTCAGGATAAATCCTGAGGGGATTTCACTGACCTTATCAGACCCAAAAGCTACAACTCTTGTTGCATAGGTCCTGCTTTACCTTGGTCTTAACCATCCAGCAGAAAAGTATAAAAACGAAGTATAAGAAGTAAAGCCATGCTGTTATGTTGAGCTGTAGGAGACTCAAATCAACAATTTCTGATATTGCCAGTGAAGCAGAAGACCCAATGCTATTATGGACTACTGGACTCTTTTAGATTATTTTGCTGGGTTAACACACCTATAATATTCAAATAACGGAACTTAAAAAGGTATTAAAGATGAATGTCCATTCTGTATCTGTGTATTCAAAATGGTTACATTCTCTTAATGAATAGAGGGATTTGTTCTAATAGTGTTTGTAAATAGGATATCATGTCTGCATCTTGTACAGCAATTAACCACTAGGAAGAATGTATGCAATGTGTTAATTATTGAAGTTGTCCTACCAAAAAAGCCAAATGCTAGTATGTGATGTGTAATATTGATGCATGAATTTATTATCTTAATAATTTTTCAGATTTTAGTTACATGAATTTCTAAATTTCTGATAATTCTAAACTTCAAAATTTTGTATTTTTTCATTTAGATCCTTCAGACATGATGTCAGGGGAAATGCCCGGGCCATGATGAAACTGATGAACAGTGCTGAAGTTGCAAAACATTCTTTGTCAACCTTGGGAAGTGCCAACTGTTTCCTTGACTCATTATATGAAGGTCAAGATTTTGACTGCAATGTATCCAGGTAACACTGAAGTTCAAAAAACTTTAAAATATTCCAAGTGAATCTTATATAGGTGCAGTTTTCCATGTTAGGTTTGCCTAAAATTTAGTAAATCTATAAAAGGGGAATTTTACTATTTTTAGTTTTACTGTCAGACTAATTGTTCCCTAAATAATTAGTTGTGATTGTTGCCCTATTTAGACTGCAGTTAGCAATTTTAAAGAAGGATGAGATAAGGTTTGATTTCATTTCCTAAATTGCAGTCCTACTTCTGAGTTCCTAGTTCCCTGTTGGCTTAAGTTTGACGTGGGGTTTACTTATGTTCCCATATTAATTAATATGCTACTTTACTTTGTGTGTTAGACCATATTTTAAGTATTTTCTCCCATTTGCTGCTGAATCCTAATATCTCCCTGGTGAGATAGGTACTAGCATCACCTTCATTTAATACACAAAGAAGCAGAAACAGGTTTCATTGCTGGCCTAAAGTCACACAGATAATAAGTGATGGAACTTAAGGTAAACACAGGCAGTTTGCATGCATAGTACTTATTACACTGTACTAAAGAGAGACATATAACTTATTTTTGTTTGTTATGTCCACCATCATCAATATTTTACATTTGAAAAGCTTTTCTGATGTGCAGAAAACAGTTTTTAATACCTCTTTTATATAATTTAAGATACTTTTTACAAAATACAGTATTACACTGTTCCCCAGAAAGCACAAAGCCAGGGCAGCTGAACATTGCCTTGGGGTTTTGTTTCCTATTTACTAAGAATAAAAGTAGCTATCTTGGTTAGCCAGTTAAACCTTCCCAGTGATCTACCAGGTAACTTTGAAACACAGCCAAACTTTCCAGCATTGTAGTTACATAGTTTTGGGACTCTGTCTTATTGGGTTACCTTGCTTTTCCATCTTTCTATTAATTGAACATCTTCGCTTTACCTGGGCTTCCTGAAGTACCTAGAGCTACAGCTGCCCTGTACAATAGCCACTAGCTACCCAGGGCTATTCAAATTTAAATTAGCATATTAAAAAGGCAGTGTAAGTACTGTACTCAGTAGTAGTCTTAGGTGACTGGTAGCTGGCAGAAAGTTCTGCTGGCAGCACTACTCTAGCTCTTTGAAGAAAGTATTTGAAGCTCCAATCCTAATGATGGAAGTGAATTGAAATCTCATGGTGGGAAGAATAGCTATATATTTTTATTTCTAGAATATGCAATGTAATAAAATATAGTAAATGTTTAAATTGGGAAAATTGATTACAGTAAAAGACAAAGTGCCATGAATCCCCCCCCAAGTGCTCCCCCTTACTTTGAGCACACTTATCCCATTGTTTTTGTCACTTTCAAAAGGAGTTCTATAAGTCCTGATCAGTGAGTACCTTTAAAGTGTGCTGTTGTGGTTGGCCTGATATAGAAAAGTGATACAAAGTGTTTCCTTTCCATGTTCATTTCACTTTGGGGAAGAGCCAAAGTTTCACAGTGCCAGTTCCAAAGAATAAGGCATATCAAATCGCACTGTAATGTTTTTATTTGACAGAAGTTACGATGCCAGAGCTCACAATTGTATTCCTGAGTACAATGTCAGCTTGCACAATTCCATCAAGGTCAAAAAAAAAAAAAAAATCTTCATCATTGATGTGCTTTTTTCTTCACATGAGAAGAATGGGTGATTTCCCATGAGAACTCTAAACCTTCATATCAGAATCATGAGCATAGATGAAAGTTTCATATCCTAGGGTTACAATTCTTTGTTTTTTTAATTAGTACATTTTAGATATGTATAACAGGGAATTTGTACCTATAAACATATCTTGCTTCATTTTTTTCCATTCGTCTCCCTTACCTTTAACCTTTCTTCCTCTCCTTATTTACAAACACTGTTTCCATTTTTCCTTTTTTTTTTTTTTTTCTTAACCTTTCTTCCCTTTCCCCCTTCCTCTTCCTTTATTCCCCTTTCATTTGAAAATATTCTACCCAGTTCTGCACTGGATTTTAGCCAAAAGACTGAAGTGATTTCCCATTTCTCAGTATCTGTTCTACATTTTGTTCCTTATTTATACTTTCAGTTTCTCACATCAGAGAAATATTTAAACTGATGTGTTTGATTCTTAAAGAATATGGTCTCAAAGTATATCCATAGCTAGAAATATCTCAGGCTTATCCTTTATGAGTAGTACATCATTGTATGAAAAAACACCTTTATCCATTTATTTGGGTATTTGAGCTGTTTCTAAGATTTAGCTAGTGCATTCTGCGGCTATAAACATCAGTGTGCATATATCAGAGTGGTGTGATGCTTTTAATTCTTTCAGGTAGATATCAAGAAAGGGAATAGCTGGCTTAAATGGAACCTCTATTTTTAGGTTTTGAAGAGTCTCCACACTGGTGTCCACAGTGGTTGCACCAGTTTACGCTACCATCAACAATGTAGAAGGGTTCCTTTTTCCCCGCAGCCCTACCAGCATTTGTTATTGGTTAGTGTTTTGATGGTGTCTATTCTTTCTTGGATGAGATAGAATCTGAGCGTTGTTTTCTCATTTCTCAAACTAGTGATGTTAAACATTTTTTCCTGTATTTGCCATTTCTACTATATCTCAGAAATAATCTAATCATTTTGTTTAAAGTGTTTTTAAGGGGCCACGAAGATGGCTCAGTGGAATAAGCGCTTCCCTGGTAAGCGCATGTACCTGAGTTCAATCCCTGGTTCCGCCAAAAAATAAATAAATAAAGTGTTTTTAAATTTTTTTTTTAATTTTTTTTTTGGGGGGGGGCAGAAATGGGGATTGAACTCAGGCCCTTGTGCTTGCCAGGGAAGCACTTATTCCACTGAGCCATCTCCCCAGCCCTTGTTTTTAAATTAAAAAAAAAAAAATTTTTATTGATACAGAGTCTCCCTACACAGTTCAGACTCCTAGTGATCCTCCTGTCTCAGCCTCCCCAGCACTGGGATTATAGGTGTGTGTCACCACACCTCGTTGGAGTCATATGGCATGCAGTACCATAATTGAACTCAGGACCTTGGGCTTGCCAGGCAAGCACTTATGCCACCAAGCTATCTCCCTAGCCCCTATCTATTCATTTTAGATGTCCATTTTTGAATTGGGTCTTTAAATTTGGGACGTCTGGTTTTTTTAAAATTCATTGTATGTTCTAAATATTAGTCTTTTTGTTTGAATGGCTGGCAAATTTTTTTTCCCACATTGTTGGTTGTCTCTTCACTGTTAATGGTTTCTTCTGCTGTGAAAAAGATTTTTAATAACATGAGATCCCAGTTGTTGATTCCTATACATCAGTATCTTCAGTTCTACCTATTTCTATCTTCTAGCAGATTCAGTGATTCTTTTTTAGTTTTTAGATCTTCGAGGCATTTCGATTTTAGTTTTATGGATGATGAGAGATATCAGTAGTAGGTTTACTGTTCAGCATGTAGAAAGCCAGTTTTTCCAGCATCATTTATTAAAGAGGCTATCTTTCTTCCATTGAAATGTTTGGCTTCTCTATTAATGATAAGATGGCTGAGTATGGTTAGAGTTGTTTCTGCATCTTCTAATCTGTTCCATTGATTCTTGGGTCTGTTTTCGCTTTTTGGGGTTTTTTTGTTTTTGTTTTTGTTTTTTTTTTGCCAGTACCATGTTTTTATTACAGAAGCTTTGTAGTATAATTTCAGGTCAGGGTTTGTGATGACTCTGCCTTGCCTTTGTTGCTCAGAATTGGTTTTGCTATTCTAGGTCTTTTGATTCCAAATGATTTTTAGGATTGTTTTCTCCAGTTCTTTGAGGTATGCTATTGGAATTTTGATCAGGATTATATTAAATCTGTATAATAGTTTTGGCAGGATGGCCATTTTCACTATATTGATTTGAATGGGTGGGGGTATATTTCTATCTTCTGATACCTTCTTCCATCTCTTTTTTAAGAGTACTGTCGTTTTTATGTAAAGATCCTTTTCTTTCATTGTCAGATAGATTCCTAGTTTTTTTTTTTAATGTTATTGTGTTTTCCTAATTTATTGGTGGTATTCAGCTACACTGCTGAATTTGGTTATTAAATCTGTAAGCCTTGGTGTGGAGTGTTTGAGGTTGTCTACGTAGACTATCACGCATTAGCAAATACGGATAATTTAACTTCTTCCTTTCCAATTCTTCTTTTCTTTTTCTTTTGTCTAATTTCTCTAGCTAATGTTTCCAGAACTGTGTTAAATAAGACCAGTGATAGTGACATCCTTGCTGTGTTCCTGATTTTAGAGTGAAGGCTTTCAGTTTTTGACTGCTTAGTATGATATTAGCTGTTGTTTTGTCACAGACAGCTTTTATTGGATTGAAATAAAGGCACGCTATTCAAATTTTCTGTAGGGTTTTTATCATTAGTGGGTGTTGGTCTTTAATGCTTTTTCTGTCTCTATTGACCCGATCACAAGGTTTTTGTCTTGGTGCTGTTAATGTGATATATTTATTGACTTACATATTTTGAACCATCCCTGTAAGCCAGGGATGAAACCTACCTGGTCATAGTGTATAATCTTCTTGATAATTTGCTGCATTCTGTTTTTCCAGTATCTTATGAAAATTTTTGTGTCTTTTTTGGGGGAGTCCTTCTCTAGTTTTGGTGTCAGTACATACTTCTAAGAATGTATCGCTTCTCTCAATTTCATTAAAGAGGTCTGTGAGATAGCTCAGTAGAATACATGCTTGCCTCGCAAGCTTAAGGTCCTGAGTTCAATCCCTGGTCCTGAGAAAAGAAAAAAGAAAAGAAAAGAAAAGAAAAGAAAAGCAATCAGTTTCATTAAAAAAATTTGAGGAGTAGTGATATTAGGTTTTTTTCTTAATTTCTTGTAGAATTGTGCTATTGATCTATTAGGGTGTGGACTTTGTTAGATTTTTGAGATAGTTGTTCAATTTAGTGACTGATACTGGTTTATTTAGAATTTTTATATCTTCTTGATCCAGCCTTGCTAGTTCATATCTTTCTAGGAACCTGTGCATTTTTTCTGTGTTTTCCACTATATTAGAATAG